GATTGAAGAGAAAGCACTATCCAAGGTTGAAGAGAAAGCACTATCCAAGGTTGAAGAGAAAGCACTATCCAAGGTTGAAGAGAAAGCACTATCCAAGGTTGAAGAGAAAGCACTATCCAAGATTGAAGAGAAACCACTATCCAAGATTGAAGAGAAACCACTATCCAAGATTGAAGAGAAACCACTGTCCAAGGTGGTGATATTTTGATTATGTCAGAAACTATAGGTAATCAAGTACAATAACATGGTAGAAACATTATTTCAAGGTAATCAAGTACAATAACATGGTAGCAACATTATTTCAAGGTAATCAAGTACAATAACATGGTAGCAACATTATTTCAAGGTAATCAAGTACAATAACATGGTAGCAACATTATTTCAAGGTAATCAAGTACAATAACATGGTAGCAACATTATTTCAAGGTAATCAAGTACAATAACATGGTAGCAACATTATTTCAAAAACCTTTTCCCCCTTAATCTTCCAGGCAAAATTCCAGATTTTCCAGACTAGCACAAGATACACCTTAATTTTACCTAATTAATTAACACCACTTTAGTTCGTATGTTAATTTTAAAAATTACTAAAAGCTTCAGAACATTTTACTTTATAGAGTGATCCTAGTGTGGAATAGTGAATAGTGTACCTCCATGGTTCAACAACGGGCTCCCACCCTGACAAGGCTCTGTTGTAATATGCTACGGAAATTTGGAAAGTCGAGATCCCCTCGTTTGGAGCTTGCTTCTGCTGAACTCTCAGATCTGAAGATAAAGTAAAATTATTTTAAAAAAAGAATATTTTACTTTTAAATAAGATACTATTATTGTCCAAACTTTCTTAACAAAATGTATGTTATATGCAATAATTCTAAATATAATTTCAGTTTGATAACTCTTTTTCCATGCATTTAAAAAAAAATCACAACACATAACATACTCATTCTTTCAACTCAACCGAGTTACTTTTGTAGTGGTACTTCTACTGTTATCTAATTATCAGTCATTTATATATACATTTCTTTTTAAGTTATATTAACTACCAAATAATGTTTTTTTGTCCAAATTACATAATAAATATTTGTTTTGAAATTCTATAGGTAATTTTTTCTAGACTTGTTCAGTGTGTGTTCTAGAGTCTTAAAGCAGCAACTAAGATGTGTGAAAAAAAATTACCCCAAATTGAAAATGTGTTTTTGTTTAGTCACTTCCAGAGGTACTGATAACATGGTTTCCTTTGTAAACCCAAGGTTCAACACAAAGTGTTAAAAACTTCCGGAAGGTCTAAATTTTAGCTTTACAATTTTAACATCCTGCACACAATAATACATTTTGCAAATAAAAAAAAAAAATTAAAATTACCACTTTTTAACTATCAGACAGGGGTACTGTGTTTTTTTGTTAAATGTGCCTAATTAGCCTCAAATATTACACAAATACTTTAAGTTCCCAATTATGTTAATCTATCAGTTAACTAAATATGCATCTTTTGTCAACATCAAAAATTAAAACAGTAAACATTACTAATTTAGTTCCTAAACTAAATGTATTATGGGACTACATCGATGACTTTATTATAATTACACAGAAATACAAGTTTAGGATAAACAAGTCATTTTATATACAAAAAATAAATAAAACTAAGTGTATTATGGGACTACATCGATGACTTTATTATAATTACACAGAAATACAAGTTTTATTTATTTTTTGTATATAAAATGACTTGTTTATCCTAAACTAAGTGTATTATGGGACTACATCGATGACTTTATTATAATTACACAGAAATACCAGTTTTATTTATTTTTTGTATATAAAATGACTTGTTTATCCTAATCTGAGTGTATTATTATTACACAAAGTCAACAAAGTGTACTTTAAAATTTAAAAGCATATGATAAATTAAACATTCTACATAATAATGGAGATGAGCAATACAAAGCGAAACCATCAATGTGTATACACTAGTCACAATAACAGGAGCACGGTGTGTTTAGTAAAAATAAGTCGGGAACAAATTCTAATAAATAAGTCAGAGAAATTAACGAGATTATTAGAAGCTCAACTGAAGATATTGAAGTTACATTAATATGTGTAACAGTTGTTAAGGTAACATTTTACACCAGTATTAAAAACATTACAGCTCTAAAATCTCTTAACCTTTCTCGTACCAAAACCACAGGGATCCAATTGTGATTTTTAACTGACTGGATTCTCATTTGAAGCCCACCATTCCTCATATTACCAACCTTTAACAGTCAGTTCCAAAAGAGGGACATCAGAGTCTTTACAGTCATCAATAATACATAAACATCCACATCCAAGTCTAAGTTCCATCATTTCAATGTTCATTCTCTTGTCTCTATTTGACTTGAGTGGTATGGCTTCAGTAGGTGATAAAGGAGAAGCATTTGATAACAGCCATAAGGCAGCATCGTTCAGCTGTCCATCAGACATTTCTAGTGCTTTTATACAATCAGCCTGTGAAAAGCCAGTATCCTGAAGTGATCTGATAGTTGATTCTGCAGTAAAGAATAAAGCCTATTTTTTTACATTCAACTAAAAGAACTGGTGTTAAAACAACAAAAACCCCAAACAAAGTTTATTTTTCTATTGTAATACAGGCACTTTTGTTCTGTTTATAATGGGTTAAGTTACCACAAATAAAATATTTCATTAATTGATGGGTCGATACTAGTGTTCTCCATCCAGCATGGAAAACAGATTGGAGCTGAATCTTACTTAATCCACCAGTAGCAGAACTCACTGAAGGGGGATTATAACACACACCTATACTAACTTAACACAGGTGCCCTTTGTGGATTTTTACTTGACATTGAATATATAATTTTACAACACAGTCAAACTGCTGTAAACTCACAGATGCTAATCATAACAAGTTTTTTTTTCTCCTGTGAAAAATTGGGCCAAAATCTTGATCAACTGGTCAGACAAATATAGTTACTTCGACAGCTACAACAGAGTGGTTACATGCAAGCATTTAATGTATAGGAGTAAAGTTAAAACCTTTGATATCCATTATCATCTTTATTTCATTATCTATAATGTATAAAATAAAAACCACACTTATTTCCTAAGTTTATTATTATCAAAAATCTTATTAATTTGTTCATTTACCATTACATTCATGGGAAAATTTTTCTAATTTATCAACATTAATTTATGTAATTCTGCTAAACACTGTTGGGGGTCACCAGCTCAACAGATGCTAGAATTTTGGTTCAATTTTAATGATAAATTTCCTAAAACTATTTTCTGTCCACCAATTTTGTTTTTTACCGATACACCCATAAAGTTACGATTAATATTGTAGGAATATCTGTAAGTTAAATATTTTTATGTTACGATTTTACTTTTTTTTTAAACATGAAAAGTGAACTTAGTTCTGCTATGAACTATATTTCTGGAATTCTTTAAGTTACTTATCACATGAGATATTACACTATAAGCCACAGTTCAGGCTTCTCTGTAATCAAAACCACAATATAAGAAAAAAAAATAGTAGTTGAAAACCACGTATTTAGACTGACAAACGACCAATGACTGGCAGTGTACCTGGAAAAGTTGGAAAATGATTCTTATTTGATACTTCTGCCGTGTTAATACCAGTCTGTTGTTGGATTGATTCAAACATCTGTAGAAACATTTGCATGTCATAGTACGAGAGCCTCAGGTTCAAATTGTTAACTGACACCTGTAGTAATAAACAGAGAAATATCAGTATTAGTTACCAAGAAAGGCAAAGAATGTAATAATCAGGAAGAAGTAAAACAAAGGTCTACTCTACTACAACTACACCGTTAAAAGGTATGTCACCTCTGAATACTCTCTCTGCATAAAATAAAATGAAGAAAAATTTAAAATAAAGTAAAAATAAAAAGAAGATATTTTAAACGGTTGCCACGTACAGGTAGTGAATATCTCCATTAAAATACTAATCAGAAGTTAAACAATATTTTAAACGGTTGCCACGTACAGGTAGTGAATATCTCCATTAAAATACTAATCAGAAGTTAAACAATATTTTAAATGGTTGCCACGTACAGGTAGTGAATATCTCCATTAAAATACTAATCAGAAGTTAAACAATATTTTAAATGGTTGCCATGTACAGGTAGTGAATATCTCCATTAAAATACT